TCACAAAGATCTTTTTCTTTAGTCATGTCCTTTGGTGAGGTGGAAGAAAGTTATATAAAATTGCCAGAAATCACTGGACTCTATCTTTAGAAATAAACTTCTCCGTTCAGTAAATTTCTCTCATAAGCCTGGGAGTTTCTGAGATATAATTAACTTTTGGAACATAATTATGGATCTTAAATGAAAGGTGTAAAGATAATATAGAGAATGTTACTAGTAAGGGGACTAACAAAAACAGAGAACCCAAGGAAAGCAATTGAAGTCACAGAAATAGCAAACTGAGAAGAACTGGACCATCTCTGAATCAAAAATCAAATCTTAGACCAGGTGCAGTGGCTCACGCCTGTAATCTGAACACTTTGAGAGGCCAAAGCAGAAGAATAGCTTGAGCCCAGGAGTAAAAGACCAGCCTGGGCAACAAAGTGAGACCCTGTCTCTACAAAAAAAATTGTTTTAATTAGCTGGGCGTGGTGGCTCATGCCTGTATTCCCAGCTACTCAGGAGGCTGAGGTGGGAGGACCACTTGAGCCCAGGAGGTCAAGGCTGCAGTGAGCTATGACAGTGTTACTGCACTCCAGCCTGGGTGACAGAAGACTCTGTATCAAAAAGAAAAAATAATAATAAAAGCATCATCTGAATAGTTCTTATAAAGAGTTAACTGCATAAGAGAAGTGGCAGTATTTCTGAACTGGGAGAGTACTTCTCAAATACTATATAACTTTCAAATCAAGCTTATCCATGACACCCTTAACACAGGACAGACAAGTTATTGCCCTGGGCTCCTTTCTCCAAGCATTATCTCATGCTCCAAAATCCCACACCCATGTCCCCCATCCCCATGCCACACACATGCACACAAATAGAAACTTAAGTAGGAATGCCCAGGTTAGACATGTACCGTTTATTCTGGCTAAGTACAAGAAGATTGGCAAGAGGCCTGGGAAGAGGGGGCTTCTAGATGCCATCCCAGATCTAAACTTCTAAAGAAAAAAGAGAGGAATCTAAACTTCTGTTTAGTTTCAAGTTTTAAGAGAGCTGCATGCTTGCTTGCTTTTTTGGCTCTCTTTAGTTTGAGTCCTGGAGAAAGGAACCAAACAAAATGACATATCATGCTTAACAAGGATGCCACGCTATGATTCTGTATGATAAAAATGCATTAAGGCACCAGTACTTAACAACCACAAATGCATGCACAGTACTTTGGTAACACTTAACAGGTTATTTTGGAAGACAGACTTCTCCTCTTCTAGTTATTTTGGAAGTAAACAAGAAGGCAGACTTCTCATTTTCCTACTCACCTTATGCTGCACTTCCCAGTTCCTGGCCCATGAAGTAAGGAAATCAAATGTGTGCAAAATTAAAGAATTCCATGATAACTACATTATTTTCCATTTGCATGTGCATTTGTCTACCGATCCCTAAAATATATCTTAAATTAGTCTGCTTTTCTCCACTTTTCCCCTTCCATTTTATCTTTATTTATTTATTTTTTTTGAGACAGGTTCTAGCACTGTCGCTCAGGCTGGTGTGCAGTTACACAATCATGGCTCACTACAGCCTTGACCTTCTGGGCTTAAATGATCCTCCTGCCACAGCCTCACAAGTATCTGGGCCTACAGGCGTGCACCACTATGTCCGGCTAATTTTTGTATTTTTACTAGAGATGTGGTTTCCCCATGTTACCCAGGCTGGTCTCAAACTACTAGGCTCAAGCAATTGGCCCACCTCAGTCTCCCAAAACGTTGAAATTACAGGCATAAGCCACCACACTCAGCTCCCGCTCCATTAAAACAACAATAACAACAACAACGAATGGCAGGTCTGGATTGGAGATGACTACCAGCACAGAATTTTTCTTTCTTTCTTTCTTTTTTTTTTGTTTGATATGTTTAGACAGAATCTTCCTCTGTCCCCTAGGCTGCAGAGCACTGGTATGATTATGGCTTATGGCAGCCTTGACCTCCTGGGCTCAAGCAATCCTCCCACCTCAGCTTCCCAAGTGGCTGAGACCAGAAATGCAGGCCACTACACCCAGCTAATTTTTATACTTCTTGTAGAGACGTGGTTTTGCTATGTTGCCCAGGCTGGTCTTGAACTCGTGGCCTCAAGTGATCCTCCTGCTTTGGCCTCCCAAAGTGCTAGGAGTATAGGCATGAGCCACCACACCCAGTTGGAATTTTTTGCTACACACAGTGCTGCCCTTTTTTTTCTTTCCTCCATGACAGAGGCTTTGAATGCGGAAATGACCTCCTAAAGCTGTCACA